CATTTTTCCACAAAAGCAAGATTTAACACTATAATGATGATGAATGTGCTCTGATGGTGACTCCTGAAGGATCCGGAGAGTCTGACTGCAGTGATGAAGCTGAACTGGACAGAAACCTGCATGTTCGGCTGCTGTAATGAGCTTTTATGACTCATTTCAGCGACATGAAAGAGTCCAAACTTATGAACAAAGTATTATGAGTAGAGAGTTATCACGTGTGTGTGTGTGTGTGTGTGTGTGTACCTGAAGTCGCTGTACGGGTGTATGATCCAGGAACCGGCGGATTTGAGCCTCTCCTGCTCCAGCGCCACCGCCTTGTGGCTGCCGAACATGCGGAGCGAGAACTTGTTGACTCCGGGCTGCAGCATCGCGCCGAACTGCCGCTGGATGAAGGTGGACTGGTTGGAGAAGCTGTAATCCTCCCCGTCCAGTCCCGGTCCAGCCTCCGGACTCCCGGCCGCCGTGGTGGTGGTGGTCTCGGGTCCGGCGGCGGCCACCACGACCATCCCGGTGCCGGTGGAGGAGGAGGTGGAAGCCAAAGCGGCCCGAGACGCGGCGAAGCCCACGGAACGCTGCACGGTCGGTGGCGCGGAGCCGCCGTGAGGCAACGACAATGGCAGAGGGGTGGTCGGGGTCCCGGCAGCGGTGCCCGGGCGGAACGGGCCGCTGTCACGCGTGGAGCTCAGGATGGAGAGGCGGCGGCGCCCGGGCAGCGGATCCCCGCGATCGCCCTCCAGAGACGCCTGCGAGAGCCGGTACCCGGGGGACGGCAGGCTGCTCTTGCTGCGCCGTTTAGAGTCGCCATTGCGGGCGGGCCGAGGGTCCCCGGTGCCCGCTGTGCCACCATCCATGCCAGTTCTAGTGAGCGGCGAGAGCGCGCACGCACACACTCACTCTTTCACTCTCTCACACACACAAACTCACACACACACTCACACACTGACCTGTTGTCACACTTCTGTCAGATAAACGCTAGTCAGTTCTGTCATTACGCTGAAAATGAGCTCGCGGTCGGTTTGACCTCAGCGCCGGTGAAACGCGCGTCCTCCACCCTGCCGCGCGGCTGCTCTCGGTCGGCTCGAACGCCCTTGAGTAGCGCGCGGCGGATTCGCCCTTGACGCGCCGTCCGTCATTTCTGCGCGCTTCTCCTCGCGCGTGTCCTTGAGGCCCAGCGACTCCGACGCGCTCCGACACCGTCCAGCATCTCCGCGATCCGCGCACTCTCTCCGGTGTTCACGGAGACCTCTCGCGCTTATGTAAAGGAGCGACACAGATACAGGACATCCAGCTGTCAATCAGCGCGCAGCTTCATCACCTTGCTTTTCCTCAGCAACAGATTGCTCCGGGGCGGCGGTGTGTCCGGGGCGCGTCGCGGCGCGCGTTCCTCAGCTCCACTTGTTGATCGCAGATTCCGGGTCCGCGTGACGCGAAGGACGAACGCGCGATCAAATAAATATGAAATCGGCGAGTGAGCGCGTGACAGTCTGTTGCCATGGCAGCAGCATCAGCATCCTCTTCCTCATCGCTGTCAGCCGCGTGCCCGTACTCGCTCACGGTCACAGGTATGAGCGCGCGTCATCGGCGCGTCACCGTGACGAGTAAAAGGCGGGAGAAGAGAGAGACGGCGAGAGAGGGACTGAGACAGACGGAGGGAGAGAAAGAGTGTGTGTGTGTGTGTGTGTGTGTGTTTGTGAGAGAGAGAGACGGATGTTAGTCACTGATGTCTGTTTCTCTGACACTGAGCAGATGAGGAAAATAAAGAGGTTCAGGATCATGATGAGAAGCAGACACACACACACACACACACACACACACACACACACACACACACACACACACACACACACACACACACACACACACACACACTCTGATACAGCTTTAAATAAATCAAGAGCCGTGTGTTCCTCTGGCAGACATGTGCACACAGTCCCTCTTCAGTCAGAAGGCTTCACTCAGTGAACATCTCCGCATGTGTCCTCCACAACACCCCTCAGCTGTCTGAGACATTACAGCATGATGCCCGTATCACTGCTGCTGCTGCGGGGTGGAGTGCTGGATCTGCTCCTGAAGCACACGCTCAGCCTCAATCATCATTCAGTCATTCTCCTTCAGCTTAGTCCCTTTATTTATAAGGTGTCGCCACCATGGAATGAACCACCAACAATTCTAGTATATGTTTTACGCAGTGGATGCCCTTCCAGCCACAACCCAACACAGGGAAACACCCATACACACACCTTAGTTGATCAGGTCCCCTATAGCGCATGTGTTTGGACTGTGGGGGAAACCGGAGCACCCGGAGGAAACCCACACCAACACGAGGAGAACATGCAAACTCCACACAGAAACACACACTGACCCAGCCGAGACTCAAACCAGAGACCTTCTTGCTGTGAGGCCGTGCGAGACCGCTGAGACACCATGTTGCCCCTCGAGTATCATCAAGTCTCGTCTTCATATTGTTGTTCGCTCTACAGCACGGTCACCTGCTCCGGCA